GCAGCAGCTAAGACAGCACGTTGCACCAATGGCACCGATCCTCGGCTAATCTCTGGTGTTTCATTCGACGTGTCTAGAAATGCCTGAAATCTTCTTGGTTTGATATTCACAGTCATTGCCACCCCTGCACCTGTCTATCATCTGCCCGCCACGATGAGAATCAATGTCTGGCTTCCAATGTTTTGCAGTGAACACAGTCAGGTCGCTACTTAGTTCTTTTGTCAAAAGTAGCGGCCTGATTTCAAACAGCATGAAACAGGTCAAGTCTCAACATAGCAGTGAGGCAAGCGCTGGGTACTTGATATTGATCCTCGATGTAAATCACGGGCCTCGCGGATCCGGAGTCGCCCTCCGCCGGAAGTCCGGGCGCGCTGCCCGCGCTGAGCTGCAAGACCATCATGCAGAAGCCCAGCGTCGCCAGCAAAGTCCCAACGACTTGGCCAATCTTGAACCTGGAAGATGGATCAAGAGTCTTCCAAACATCTAGGTAGCGATCACAGTTTGAGTGCAAGCTGTGAACATCTAGGTGACAACATGTCAAAATTCACATTACAAATGACACAAGTGTGTCAACATGCCAAACTATCCTTATTGCAGAATTCCCAAACTATTCTTAGAGCAACATGCATGGGGCCTCCGTAGTGAAAGGTCTGGGGCATCAGGTTGAAGTTCTTCATCATCATCGCTCTGGAAGGCTTGATAAACGGAGTTCCCCTGTGTCCTCATGGCCTTCAGCCTGAAGCTGAGCTAAGCCTAAATAGCTGAGGGGGAAGGCCACAGGTTTTCGACTCATGAGTCAACACAACGCCACAAGGCACGCCATGGACAGACGCCCATGGCGTTGACAGCCCCAACTGCAAAGCGCTCCTCACTCAATGTTGCCCCCAAGCTGGGCGGTTCTGGCTTCAAGTCAAGGGGCTCCTGCACAGGGCCAAGACAAAGGGCATCGCTACGAACGGAGCAAGGACGCTACTAGGGGCTCCTGGCATCGCTACTAGGAGCAAGGACGCTACTAGGACGCTACTAGGACTTGAAAAGTTGAGGAATCCGAAGAACGCCTCCCGCTGCTCCACGTTCAGCTCCGGTTTCGGCCTGACACTTCCAGTGTCTTCCGATGTGCGTTCGGCACTGAGGGTCCATAGCGCGTTTTTGTTCGATTCTTACCCCGCAAATAAGCCTGTCACATCTATCATTGATGCCTCCAACCTAATAGCTTCTAGTTACTAGTAGCGATGGCCTCCAACCTACTGTACTTGCGATGTCCTCCACCTAATAGCATCCTGGCTCCTAGTATGCTGATAGCCCCACAAGGATTTGCAATCCAAGATTCATTCCGTTCATTCTCGCTCTGCTAAGATTCGCACCAATCTGGGACCGTTTCTGCTGCAGTCTCCTGCAGAGGACTTTCGTCACTTTCGTGTGGGGGAAAAAAAGCCGTAGTCCCTTGCTTGACCTCTCCTCTGCGCGTGGCAACGGACCAGCGCCAGACAGCGAACTCACCGAAGGGCCCACATCAAAGTCAGGTTGCCCAGCGCATTGTCCTGAAACGCTTGGAGGCTTTGCCATTCGCAGCTAGGGCCCATCATAAGTATATATGCCACCATGATGTTGTTTGTGTGCTGCATGGAGACCAGGACCATCCACTTCTTCCTCCCTCAAGTCCTTCCAAATCTGTCTGCACTTCCACCTTATAAGACCGAGGAAGGGTTCTTTGACTCTTGCAGACTCTGAGATCCGTCAAAGCTGAACTTGACCAGTCTGTCGGAATCTACAGGTCTCGCACCTCCTTCACGCCACCTGGAACGGTTTTTTTGAGTCTGGCACTTGTCTATTTCCGAGGAGCAATCCATGAAAGTGTCCTAGTGTTGAAGGTGCTTCAAGTGAAGCCTAAAAAATCTAAAAGACGAAAGAACTGAGGATCTGTGTGCACTCTTGCTGAACCTTGCCTTCAGCATCTGTCTTCCTGCTCAATGTACACATCTCAAGGATCAAGGGCACGAGCAGACGTTTCTCAAAAATCGGAATGTGCAAACCCCCTTACACTGACGGACGTTCTCACCACTCTGATCACCAACGAGAGAAAGCTGCACACACACAAAAGGTCGTGTGTGCGACAACCATGTTCGCCACGGCCTGGCACTCGGTGCATCAGACCTGAAGAGCACGCTCTGAAAGGCACTTAGAGGACCCCAAACATCAGCGATCGTAGGGCTCCCGGCTGTTCGAATGGTTCAAAGGCGTCCACCCTGGTCAACTTGCGTTGGAAGAGATTTTCATGAGGTCCACTCTTGTTCTGCACGAAAGTCGAAAACAACAACATCGACCTGCAACCAAGCCGCTGAAAGCCACCAATTTCAGCTGGAGCAAAGGAGACCTTGAGGTCGTGGGCGAGGTCTGGTGTCGCGCCGAAGATCTTCATCGCCGAAAACGACTCCGCTTGGCGTTGATCACGATGAGGAAGCACCCCAGCGCTCGTCCCAGAGAGCTTTTGTCGTGGGATCTCATCAAAAGTTGATTTTCGGAATTCGGCCACTGATGAGGAGCGCCTCCTTTGTGCTTCCACGTGTGGCCTGTCACCCGCTGCCGATGATGAACGCCTCCAAACAAAACATCATCGAAATCGGAGCTGCAACATGCTGTAACCATAGGTAATGTCTCTCAAAAGGTAAGAACAATCAATGAACCAATGAGTCAGTTGCATGCCTGCGTCGGTCTACTTTATGCGGGGGATGGCTCTGACGCAAGGTTTTCGTCCAGTCTGTCAACCTCCGCTTTCACAACTTCAGGTCGTTGATTGTGTCTGGCGTACGCCCGATACTCTGTAGTGTGTATATATCTATAGTGTGTTTAAATACGCCAATGTTAGCCTGGCAATCAGCTTGAACACCTTATGGATTAATGTGAGTATATAAGTAGTTGAGACGCAAGTTGCAAAGCTTGTGGCAATCATCCAGCTTGAGATGGCCAAGTTACTCAACCTGGTAATTCTGCACTAGGTCTTTGCAGGGGCGCCTGCAATAATTGGCTTGCAACAAGACGTGGAACAACTCAACAGAGTCCTTTGGAAGAAGTCTGACTCGTGACGGTGCAAGCACATCCGGACGAAACACCTTGCATGAACTTGATACCGGCTACCACTCGTGCACGTCAAAGCAAGCAACTAGCATGGGCGGCCCAGGCGAGCGTGCTGCCTCCACTTGGGATTTAGCCTTCGAACCTCTTCGTAGAGAGCTCGCCGGTGTTGCTGCTCCTTCTGAAGCGCCGCCTCACAAAGACGCGGGTCGCTGGCACGGCACATCGCGGCGCGCTTTCTCGCGTGGTCGGGCCACGCATCTCATCACACATATTGCTTGGACATGCTCACCTGGTGCCAGAGAACGGTTTTTGTGAATGGTCATCAACGGTGTTCGTATGTTCAGCTCTCTTCCCTTTTAGGTTCTGCAGAGAGCATTTGGGTCTTCACAACTTCATGAGAGATGTGATACGTACTATAATATACTGTATTAACGTTCCATCCTTCACTAAAGGCCTCTGCTGTGGCAAGTGCCACCTGCTGCCTTGCCTTACACCGGGTGCTGAAACAAAATGAAAGAGGATCGCACACTGCTGAAAGCCTACGAGCCTACGAACTACAAGCCATCATCAGTCACCAAGTTACTGAAGCTGCCGAGAGCTCAGCGATCTCGTCCTTTTCAAACCTTGACTTCCTGAAGCTTGGGACATGTTTCTTTGATGCCAAAACAGTGTCGCAGCTGTCTTGCTGTCTGAAAAGAAGGATTTGCTTTGGACCGAGAAGCTTTCGCTCGTCCAACTGCTGCTTCAGCATTGTTTGCAATGCATCGGCACGTGCCTGGCCAAGCTCTGTCACCAGCGCACGCCCAGCGGCGATACGATCAAGTGGAAAATCATGAAAAATCTGCACGAAAAGTGTCTAAACCTTCTGTCAAATATCACACAACAACACCGGGAAAAAGAATGCCTTGGTGGCTGCCAGCTCTGTCTCACGAGCATGCCACTGCTGCCGCAGCTGCTGGATAGGCCTTGAGACTGCAGCTTGCATGAGACTGCATGAGATTTCGTACATTGGATCTTACTTGTACTTCCTATAGTGATCTCCAAACAGATAGATGATAATTAGATGATGATAGAACGGTTTCCAATACATCTGTAGTGGGGAGCTACTTTTCTATCTATTTGGGGGTCGATATGCATGTATATACATCAACCCAGTTCCTTTTGAAAGAACCGGCTGGTTTCTGGCAGAATTGCAACTTTTACCGAGGTCCTAACAGCCAGGTGAAGTCCATCCCGGTTGGCTCTGGAACGGAACGCAGCTCTGGGCGTTGTGGCCGCGAGGAAGGCGTGCCCAATCCCCAGTAAGAACTGGGTGCTGCACTTGTGGCAGTTGTTGCAGACATGGACTGTGGTGACTCCTTGGACATTCTCTCCCTCGGTGCTTCTCTCATCTCAAACTCCCGTTCGCGCTCCCGCACCGGCAGGTTGCGAAAGGCCGGTGCGCGCCGGAGCTGGCACGGCGCGCCCGGTCCGCTGCTCGCGCTGCGCGCGCTTCGCTCGGCGCCGGCCGCGAGGTCTGCAACGGGTCCGGCGACTTCAGGTCCTTCCGGACGCTCAGGGGGGCTCTCATGAGCCTCCTCGCGAGCCATGGCGTTCAAAAGCTTCGGTGAATGCAAAGGCCTTAAAAAGAACACAGAACAAATGGAATGGTGATTCATGATGCTGCAAAGATTCAAAATGCTACTAAATGCTGGTGGCATGGCATCTGGCACCCGAAAGAGTGTTGGAAGTCTGGACTGTCTTCTCTGTGAGACGCTAGACTTTGCGACGGCGCGGCTGTTTGCAAATACGCCCGGAGAGAATCAGACTTGGAAACCACAAGGCTTGGTCCATTGTCGCTTCTATGTCATGTTTCCTCCTCTCTTTAGGTGAACAGCATCCAGTCCCCTAGGTATATCCCAGGTATATCCGCCGCCCCATGGCACATCACTGCGGCCACTCCCGCATCAATCGCCGACCTCGAGAGTCGTGCCCGACGTGTGAGACCAGGCTCAATCGGTCGCTCTGAGCAGCCAGCTGAAAAGGCACATAGAATTTCTCCCAACCTGGTGAAATACTTGAGAATGGTTGGAGAGTCAACAAGGGTCAGTTGTCTGAATATATATATATATACACCAAACAATATATGTGTACAAGAGTTGTTTTTATATTTAAAACTATATAATAGTTATATAGATTTAATTAATCAAATATACACCGTCAAATTTGGATGACTTCATTGCCATCGAAATACCGCCCCAAGATGCCATCGGAAGATCTGCCAACGCCAACATACGCCAATTGAGGTGCCAACGAACTCGCTCCGAGACCACCGAGTTCACACTCGTCCGTCTCGACTCCTGGTGAACTCGGACGGATGCGATGCACGGGAGGCGACCTGGACCGACCTACCATGGGAAAACCCTGCCGGGTTCCGGCCTCAACCATTCAATTGTTTCAAACTCCTGGTGCTACTCGTGGGGTGCAAGTGTGAGATCTCCGAATGTCCCCTAGGTTTGTGGTTGATTGCCTGCAGCAGGGCATGCATTCCTGAAGTACACAAACAAAACGTTTGACATCTGTTGCTTTGAGTGAATATGTGCCCTTCAAAATACCTACGCCTCTTTTTAAAGGGGCGCATTGCAAGTGAAGAATGAATATGATATGTCAATGAAGGGTTCCCCGTAAAGGGAAAGGGGAGTTGTCCTAGACTATATAGTTAATTAATGTTAAATTAAGTTTTCCTAGGCAACTTTAGGCTTCCAAGCGGACCCCAGGAACACGCGAATTCCGGGAAACCATTCCCCTCAATACTGAATGATACTGAATGTATCCCTACTATGGTATTATGGTTGGACAACTGACTGGTGCTTAGTACGGAATGCAGGAATGACCCCCCTACAAGAGATACCTTAAGATTCTTTCCCTTGTTCCTTACTAAGCACAAGTCAAACAAGTGTAGATCATATCGAGGGAGGCCTTTTTAGAAATGGGGAAAGAGATCACACGGCCAAGAAAGAAATGGAAGTTGCAGCAGGAAAATGATCGACAAGCAGAGTACATAGATGAGGCTACTGCCTTGCCCGACCCTTTAAGAGCAGGGGAGACAAGCATGAATCTTTGTGACGCAAATGCGTTCAGGGAAGAGCACGTGACGCATTGTTTCACGGACGCACGTGAAAGAGAAACAGGTATGTGACCATTGTTCAGTTGCAAATGCATGTGGCTGTTGTGCAGAAAGCTGTCACTGCTGACTGTCGAGTACTAATTAGGGCAGTCGAGGTGTGTGCCTACGGACGATGATGACGTTTATCTTGCTCTTAATGTAGTGGGTCCAAGGACAGCCCAAACGATAAACGATGAGAAGAGTCGACCTGGTCACCCTGATGTCCTGGTCATTCAACGCAAAGTGCTTCACAGCTGCTGCGACACCGGCATCCTTTTGCATGCCCTTCACCTCAGTCACAAAGAAGGAAGAATAAGCACCCTAGCAACGTCCTGGCCATGTCAAGTTGATGCCACCTAGCGCGTTCAAGTTACACAAATTTGCACCCAAGCTCTCCCAACACTCAGCTCTGTGAGTTTGAAGGTTGTTTTGCTCCATCGAATCCATCTGCCCAATGGTGCAACTAGAATCTTCACTCAGCTCATCGCAAACGCCTTGACCAGAATGCTCCCCAAGACGGGATCCTCAAAAACATCGAGTTGAACACCGAGACATTCCTGTTGCTCTGGCGCAGGGCCGCGCAGGGACAACGGAAAATGCGGCTTTGATGCGACCCAGCCGTGCCTCGCCAGAGAGGTATTCAGCGTTGCGCCCACCAAAGGGAGTCTCAGCCAAAGCAAACGTTGCAACGAGCGCCGTGTTTTTTCATCTCATTTGTTGGGACCGCATCAGTCAGTGTCACCGTGAAATCTGAAAGCGGCTGGGCACCACGACTCTGTGCAGATTCACAGCCGGTGCTAGGATCATGTTGGCTCCCTGCTCACCAGTTCGAGAGCAAGCTTCAACAATGACTTCCAGACGGTCCTTGATTCGGAACTCCTTACCCATTGCAGCTGCCTCGTGCTGAATGCAACATGATGAAAGAAGCCCACCAGTCTTGTCATGAAAAAGAAAACTCTTATGCACTTAGCATGCGTGTGCTCGATTCCTTCAGTCAAGAAGGTAATGTACCCAATGTGATCTTCTCACTTCGTGGAGTGGCTGCCACGAATGGCTGGGCATTACTTGGCTGCGCGCCCATGTTTCGACCAACTTGCTATCCCAGGTGGCGGCCACGGCCAGTGGAGACGGCCTCTTTCAACCGAATTCGACGTATCAAGAATCAAGACATCGCGGGCCGATTTGGTGCCAAGCCAGGAGGTCACAGTTCCGACAATGTCCTTCAAGACGGAAGGAATCGGTACTCACAAGGGCATCACTACTAGTAGCTAGAAGCTATTACTAGTAGCTAGACTCTACTAGTAACAAGGGCATCGCATTGGCTATCTTCCCGAAGGAATCATTTCTTCTCTTCCGCGTTTCCCCTCTCTGTCAGTCCTCGTCACTGGTGCGGAAGCCAGCGCTCCCATCCTGTCAGGCGAAGCTCGCCACGCTAGCCACATGGATCGTACGAACCCAACACCCGTCTTCTCGAACTTAGTTTTCTCAGAAGAGGCACGCTGGTTCTGGTGCCGAATTTTCAAACAGGAGACATTCTAAACTCTAATTAAGCGTGCAAGTCGAAGAATGATTTTGATAATTAAGTTAAACCTAGCTAAGCAGCTGAATATAGCCTTATAGCTAAACTCTTTACATGAATGCCACGCAGCCCCACATAGGAGACAGCGGTGAACAGCACTGCAAGTGCGAGCTGGAGGGGTTCCTTTCGATCCAAAGAACAAAAACACCACTCAGCTTCATCTTGGCAGACTGCTTCAAACATTTGGGCGTATTCTTTTTAAGTTCTCAGGCCGGGATGTCTGACTACGGGGTGTGCTTCGGAGCTA